ACTCCCGCTATCTGCTCGTCCCTGCTTATGCGTCTGTCCCCATCACTAACTTCTTTGTTTTTGTTTGTTTGTTTGTTTTTGAGACAGGGTCTCACTCTGTTGCCCGGGCTGGAGTGCAGTGGCGTGATCACAGCTCGCTGGAACTTCACTCTCCTGGGCTGAAGTGATCCCCCCACCCCAGCCTCCCAGGCAGCTAGGACTACAGCCGCGCGCCACCACACCCTGCTGATTTTTCTGTTTTTTGTAGAGATGGGTTCTCATTCTTGCTCAGGCTGGTCTGGAACTCCTGGCCTCAATCAGTCCTCCTGCCTCGGCCTCGTAGAGTGTTGGGATTACAGGCGTGAGCCACCGCACCCCGCCACATCACTAACTTTTAATGTGTATATCCTATTGTGTTTTATGAATGTTTGGCTCACCTGTTGTGCTTCGATTTTGTGAGAGTCATTATATGTGACCTTCGTATCATTACTGTGGATCACAGAAATTTCTGTAAGAAATACCACTTTATAAAGAAGACTGACACAGTGCTGAACGGTTTGACTCATCCCCTACTGTCCAAAAACTGTGGAAAATCAGTATCAGTTTTCATTTTCTAAAATTTAATGCTTAAGACGTGAGGTTTCTGTAGCCTGTCCCTATCCCTCCAGCTCCCTCGGGTGGGGGCAGGGAGTGTGGGCAGGAGCGCTGGGGGCAGACTCGGTTGAACCTGAAGATCTGGGGCTCCCACCGCCAGCAGGGCTGCTTGAAGTTGGAGTGGTTCCTGGAAAAGAAGGAAACTGAAATAAACATCCCATCCAGTTCTCTTTCCTGTTGCCTGAATCGAATAAAAGATTTTTATGCCACATCAGAGAGGTTATTTTTCTCTGTGGGATTGAGTTTTGATTCTGCGGAAAAGCTACTAGTAACGAATGACAGGGGAATGGAGTCCTCAGTAACCACCAGGAGATGTGGGGTGCGCTGACTGTCAGAGGACTTAGGTTTACACAGCCCGGCTTTTCCCAAACAGTTTCAAGTCAGCTAAAACGTCCTCTCAATCCAAAACTTGTTTTGCAAGAATCTGATACGAAAGTTTCCATCGTTCTTATAATCTAATAGAGAAATGCAGACACGGCGCAAATATGCACTTCTACACTCTCGTTTTTTGTTGTGCTTTGTGTGTCTTTCCCTCCTTTTTTGGTTCACTGAGGTATATGATTCTGTGGTTTAAAAAATCCTACTGTTCTGGGAATTTTCAAGCATGTATAAAAGTAGACACAGTAAATCCCAGACATGGTATAATTTTATTCATAAATGTAAATATGGCAGTATGTATTTCTAAAAGATAAGGATTCTTTTTCTTAAAAAAACATTATCACATTTAAAAATAATTGAAATAATTCTTTAGTATCATCGGCCATCTTGCCAGCACCACCCTAAGTTAATAGATCCCAGCATCTTGCTCTACTTGCCGTGGTTCTTTTTAAGAAATAACAGGTTACAGATGCGGTTGTAGCCTCTTGCGTACCCTGTCTCTTCACCTCGTCTTTCCTTCCCCTGGTCCCGCAGAAGTAACTCACTGCTCCAAGTGTGTTTCCAAAGGTGTCAGTAAAAAAAATAGAACACAGATACCCTTCCTGTCTCCTGTTTATGAAATTTGAAAATCATTTGAAATTTAGTCTTTTCTAATTTTATCAAAACGATTTGGTTTTTGCTCTTCTCTGAAACCTAAGTCAGGAGAGCTGGGAATGGGAGTGTAGGTGCTGCGGGTGTGAGCCGGTCCCTTTGCGTTGTCGTCGTTGGGGTGCAGGGCTGGTCAGCTCAGGATGTCTAGGATGGCCTCTCTGGAGCAGCAGGGAAAACCCCTTGTGTATGTGTTTAGCTCCTTCGTGGGAACTTAGAAGGGAGTGTGGGTGCAGGAGCTGGGCGAGCTGTGAGCTCAGTGTGACATTCAGAAATCATCAATAATCAGGCTTTTGAGAGCTGCTTCTCTCCTGACCACTGCTGCCCAGTGCTGATCTAGCGTGAAGGCTCCGCATAGGTTTCTGATAAGATAAGCTTTGTTGAAAACGTTAAAATTGAAGTGTGATGGTAACAGGATGCAGAAATGGGAGTAGTTTGTCCCTGTGGGGGACGCTTTGCTGAGAGGTGCTGTGGAACCGCAGTGCCCTGTCTTCACTGTGATTTCCTCGAGGAGTCTCTGGAGTGCTGGTTGACTGTGGTTAGAGAGCTTGTTCTAGTTTCTTCTCTTTCAGATTAGTGGGTTACGTTTCTGCATCTGTAGTAGAAACGATATAATTTTTTAGTGAATTTCTCATATTGGAGCAATCCTGCCAGGAGCCAACTCCACCCCTCCGAGCTGGTTACAGAGTGGGCGCTTCTGTAGCTCTCTGTGTCCGTTTGCTGGTGAGTGAGGCGCTGGCCGGCTTTGACTGCTCTGGTTGACGTCTCGGCTTGGTTTTCTGGCTCTAGTGGATTTTGCAGAGAAGGGCAACTTGTCTTATTTTCAGCCTCACTGTTTTTCCCTGAAAGCCTCTGAATGGAGTACTTCCGGCTTGGAGAATTAGAACCATCCTCAGATCATCAGCTACATGGAAGTTGATCTGTTCTCCACATTATAAAGAAAATGTAGTTAAAGTGGAGTTTTAAAAATGTATATTTTGACTCACCCTTCCTCATTCTAACATGGTAACATATAAAAGGGCCTATTCGTAGTTAATGATTTATTTAAAAAGTGGTTAATGTTTCAGAATGAACACCTTGGTACTTAGTGTTCAATTAGTAGCTTGGGTGTTGACATTTTTAGAAATCTTAAGGACAGATGGGCCAGTGTGGATTCCAGATTAGACGACTCTTCAGGTACCCAGCAAGATTCTCTCCAGACATCATGTGCTTTAGGAATGAAGACTTTTGTGAGATAAGAAGGGAGACATTTTATAAAAAACTCCAGTTACGTTGTTTCCAAGAAATCAGCTGATAAATGGATTTCCAATCCCAGTGTCACGCTGAAACACAGGGCCCTTGGATCAAGGATGGTGGCTGGCGCCTTCTCATTGTGAGGACTGGAGAGTCCTGCGCTGTGCAGGCAGTCAGCTGGGGCCGTCTGCATGAGTCTGACTTTGTGGTGTGTGTTGACAAATGGTGGTGAGGGGCTGAACAGGGTGGTCTGACCCTTTCTCTGCTGTCCTTGGATCCGTGGGGTGTCAGAGCGCTTCCCGACTTCCTGCATGCTGGTGATGTGGCTTTGCTGACCACTCTCCTCTCTCAAGTCCCGAACGCAGAGTGGCTGTATCTCTGGCTTCTCTTGCTGCCTCTGAAGTGAGGGCAGTAGCCCTTGCAGGGCACTGCTATGAGGAGGTGATGCTTGTGACGTCACCTCCCCGGGTATCCTGGGCTCAGCCCTGTCCTCCCTTGCCACCTTGTTCATTTCACCTGGTGATCAGGTGTGGTCTGTCTGCCTCCTTTCCTGGACAGGGCCTCCGTGAGGCCTTCTGTGGGGCTGCACCCACCCTGGCTAGCCTGCCCCCCACAGAGTGCCCTGGCGAATGTCTGTGTGTTTGGGGCGTCCAGTGTGGTCACACCCAGCCCCCTTCCCGTGACCTCCCTCACGTGGGGCGGTGAGATGTCTGGTTAAATCTTTTGCTCACTTAAAAAAATTGGGTTGTTTATCTTATTGAATTGTAAGATTTCTTTATATATTCTGGATACAAGTCCTTTGTCTGATACATGATCTGCAAATACTTTCTCCCAGTCTGTGTCGTCTTTTGGTTTTATTAATGTTGTCTTTTGAAGTGTAAAAGTTTTACGTTTTTGTGAAATCCAGTTTATACTTGGTGATGTAAACCTTTCTTCTTCCTGAAGAGTTTCCTTCTCTGTAACATCATGTGTGAATTATCCTACTTACTTTTTATGATTTTTTATTTTAGAAAACAACAAAGAGTTCATACTTAAAGATACATTACAGATATAGTAGATTTGAAAAAATTAAAAATCAAATCTAAAGAAACACCAGAGAAGTCACAGTAGAAAGCGCTAAGGCACTAACACATTCACACATTAAATTAGGGTGTTGATTGTAGAAAATAATACAGTTAAAGTAGATAATTTATTTGTATGTAGGTTTAAAAGGAGGAGATCAATTTTTTGAGAGTTATAATTACATTTAAAGTATACTTTTTGCATTTTTCAAGAAGACAATAATGATGCAATTTAGTGCTCAAAGCCCTAGACGTTGGGCTTTCTTTTCTATGTCAGTGTGAAAGCGTGTGCTAACTGCTGCCACGTCAGAGCTGCCAGGTCCTTCTGCGTTAGGTGGGCATCATTCGTGTACTTTCCCATGGAAAATTAAAAACTCTGAAATGTAAGATAGCGGAAGAATATCTAACTGGAGAGGAGCTTTGTGGTCGACTTAATAGTGCTCTAAGTGGTGCCTGAGATGGGTGTTCTTCTGTGTCATAGTAAGAAATAATTACAATTTTAGAAGTAAGTTGTTTTACTAATCACACACTAGGATGATAAAATACATTGGATTTTGAAATTCTTCCTTTAGACTATACAGGTACTTGTTTTATTAAACTAAAAATTGTTTTTAATATGTAAAAAAAAGAGAGTCTGTTTGCCTGTTTTCTACCAAGGACTCTGTGCGGCTGGGAAAGCTTTCTGAATGGGTGGTGTGGGTTTGTGCTGTGCGTACATATCCCGGACACTTGCTGGAACAACACTTAAAACTCAGAAACTCCTGAGCTTCCCTCTTGAGGACCACGGCTGTTGAATTTTTTGAGAACCAGGATCTCATTCCCGTGATTCATGATCCTGAGTGCTGTTGGCGGCTCCTTCCCAGGGTGCCACTATCCCTTGGCTGGAGCTGTTTGTAGTGGCCTTTGGTGGCCACCTCTGCCTCCTAGATCAGAGGAACCAGTGGCTCCTGTTTTCAGCACTGCACCTTGCAAGGGGTCAGTGCATGACCTACCCCCACCCCAGTGTGTAAAGGCTTCGGGTAACACAGTCTCCTTTGGCAATTGCAGGTGAAGGACTTGACTAAGTACCTGGATCCCAGTGGGCTCGGTGTGATCAGTTTTGAAGACTTCTACCAAGGGATCGCAGCCATCAGAAACGGAGGTCAGTCATCCCCGCCACCCTCCCAACCACTTTCACTCCTCCAGCATCTTCCCTTTTCCATGAAGCCCCTAAAATACCCTTGGTTTTCAGATGATCTTTCTCCTTTCTTATCTTTGCACCTTGCACCCTATCTTCGAGACTCAACTTTTATCCGTAATGTTAGAAAGCTACTGCCCCTGTCCTCAAAAGTTTATGATGGAAATTTTCAGACATACAAAAATACTGAAACAATTCTACAGTGAGCCACCTGCATAGGTACTGACCACCTGTGCTCTACGGGCCGTGTTTACTGACTTGCTTTATCCCATCTTCCCATCTCCAGCCATCCTTGTGTCTGTCCACAAGTCCGTTTTTTTGTGGGATGCATTTCCTATCAGTATGTTTTCGCACACTTTACACTAAACTGAATTGTGCATATCAGTCATTATATCGGATTTCAAGATTTGTTTGCAGTCTTTTTTTTTTTTGAGACAGAGT